GAAATACATACACTTTGCAACAGTTTTTATGTGTATACCTCAGTTTGGCTAGTTTTTGCTCTACCTTTAATGATAAAATAACCACTTTTGATTTTTTCCCTCAAACTAACTGGTTGATAGAAACCTCTTAATTTAATAAAAAATAAAGATACAATACTGATATATTATGACAAATATATGCCATTTTCTCATCATAATCCTGCAATTACCAAGCCTATAACTTTAATACCACAAAAGTAACTTACAGCAAGGACCCTTATAGTGATAAGCAATAAATCTAATTACCATATCCTTTGAATACATGTAATATAAATTTCATTGCTCACTTAAAAGTTCTAAAGTTAACAGCATAAACTTGAAGTTAAGTAATTAAGTAATCCTTATATAGACACTTATTAAAGTATTTATACATATTATCTTAAATCTACATCTATCATTTTGCCAATTAAAATTAGGACTTTAATTGCAATTAAGTAATTTAATTGCCAATTGAACAGCAAAATTGCTAAGTGACTAATTTTAATGCCTATTTTAATTACCAATCATGACTGGGGAGGGAGCTAATCAAGTTACATCAAGCAGTACCAGAGTAATGATGTGAAGAAAAAAAAAGTAGAACAAACATTCCAGGCTACATGCTTTTAAAAAAAGAAAGAAAGAAAGAAAACGAGACATAAATTAAATAAATGCAAACATAATCTTATAAATGTATAAAATACTGTGTTTCAATATCTGAATACAGAACATGAATAGAACAAGATTAAAGAAGCCCCTGTCAATCTTCAAAGTAGAGAAAATCAAATCAAAATTTTATGTGGTATTTACATGGCACTCACTCTAACCCAGATAAAAACAAAGCTGTATATATAGCTGAGAATAAAAGACTGTTTTCTGCTTGGCTGGTTACATATTTACAGATTGACAGTTTTTAAAAATTCTTTAAAAATGAAATGCTATAAAAGAGAGAAACAAGTTTCCAATGCAGCAACATGGGTTTAAATTTGAGAAGCAAACAGGGCCAGTGCAGTGGGATTATATACTCTTTCCTGCTGGCTCTCCTCCCCTCCCCCACTCACTGGAATGAAGTTCTATTACAGGCCTGATGCCTATTCATAACCTGTTCCATGTTACCTTGAGAAATGCATAAATCTGTCCTATTTTAAGTGTTTTAAAATACATTCGTGAATTAAAAATAATAATAAGAAGAAAGCATCTAGGATTGCATCACAATTAAAATTACTTAGAACATGGGGAATATACCGTGTCCTAAAAGTATTTCTCATTTTTTCAGTAAAAATAAACATACCAGCTCAAGATAAAGGCTGTATATCAGAAAGCAACCAAAAAAACACTGGTAAAAATCTTCTTGGCCAATACAAACACATTCTCAAAAGTTTTCATATCCAAACTATCAGATTAGCAATATGAAAGGCAAGATAATATTGAAAGGGAGAAGTGAGGTTGAGAGCTAAAAAAAAAAAAAGAAAAGAAAGAAAGCAGTCCCCGTATAGATAATAATGCTAGCACTTTCCAGCTATAGGATTGCCTTGGCAGCCAGCCACCTCATTTAGAGTAACAATGGAAATCCATCAAATCTTCATTTAAAATAAAGTCATGATGCAAGATACATATCTTGATTGTATATATATATTTATATATATATATATATATATATATATATATACCAAAAACATACATAGTTTGTCTATAAAAGGGCCCAAATTACTCATGAACTATATGTAATGTTATAACTTGAGCAAAAACAAATAGTGCCACTTAGGATTTTATTGACTAATGGACTTGAATTCTGAAACGAAGCATAGCAGGACTTTAGCCTGGCTTTTGAAGGAGGAACACATTAATACTCTTAGGGCCTAACAAAAGGCTGCAATATCTGTTCATGACGATAACAACTTTATAAGACAAGTTCTGTGTGACTGATTGAAGGGCGCACTTACTGTCTATTCAGAAGTCATGGAGATGGAGTCATTATTGACAAGCTCACTACTGATCAAGGTTAAAACTCATTGAGTGTTGATGTCACAGAAATACAATCTCAGCCATTACAAGATTACCAAAAACAGCCTCCAGAAAAGGTTGCCATAACTCACACATATCTTAGTGTGTTCTGTATAAGAGTTTCCTGCTATATAAAGACACAAATCATCTTATATTATTTGACAATAATATCAAACTTATTGCATTAACTCAAGCACTAAGTAACAAATTACCAGCCATCACAAAAGGAGAAAAATGGAGAAACATTATATGGTAATTTGAAAACAGCCCTGAAAGGACATGAGGTATAGACAAACTTTCAAAATGTTAACTTTCTGAAACTTGACATGACTGAAAATATATACTTTATAAGACTGTTCATGTCTACTTTGTATTTTGCTAATCCATCAGTTCACATGAATTAATATGGTTTGCATATTGTTGTAAGCAAAGTCTTTTAAAAGATAATATGTCTATAGCTTTCAGGTAAACGTAAAAAATGTTATAGTGAGTTATTTTACTTTTTTTACCCAAGTTTCTTGTTTCTCAGTGTTGCCTCTCTGCATTAGTGAAGGAAAAAGGAGGGATACAGTAAAGGACAACCATGTTTATCATCTGAAATTAGAGGCAATAAATTAAATATATTAGTCACCAGGGTTTGTAAAAATAAGACCTGTGAAATATTACAGAATCATCCCACGAGGGTCTGAACAGAGACTTCAGTATGCTGTCACTGACATATTGGGGGGTGGGGTGTGGGGGGGAACAAATGACCAGTACATCACATACAGGATTCAAGTTGAAGTGCACATGTAGTGTGTAGTGTGTGCATGTATAGAAATTGGTTTCCTCCTTATTTTTCTTATATTTCATATTTCTAAGCACGGTTTTTCTGTAAGTTACTTTCCAAAGTTTAATAATGATTGAAGTTATTGAAAAAAATACACAAATACACAAAATTTCAAATAGTTAATGAATGGATTTAGGAGTTATATTGAAACAACTCAACACCACTTTTCATACGAGTCCTTTAATTGCGAGTTTCAAAAGTATGGTGTTCCTAAGATTGCTACTCTTAAGTAACTAGCTCTGAAAATCATATTTTCCATTTTTCCACACCCTCATTGATTACTATTTGGAGGGCTGATTGGCAATATCCAAGACAACAGTTTTGCTAAACTTTACAAACTTTGTATCACCCAGAGGTGAGAAGAGGAAGGCAACACAGAAACAGATTTTAAGCCAGAATGATTGACAGAGCCCCTCAAACTGTAAAGAGGTGTTATAGAATTTGAAATGTGGCTCTGTGGTTCAATTTATACCACAGAAACGGTGAAATGTTATCGTCCTGTTGTTATAACGTACCAGGTCAAGGGATATAAATTGTACCAGGTAATTTATTTTACCGTTCAGACAGTCATTAAGTTCCTCCCGGAATATATGTGATTGACATCCCTGGAGGTGAAAGGCTAAAAGAACCATATGGCAACATGTTGCATTCCGTCTGCTATCTGCCCATCCGTGCTTAAGCTGCCATTAGCAACATCTGCACCTTACGGAAATCCAGCTGCGCCGACGCCGGCTGACGGAATTGTACTTGGGGGGGAAATCTAGCTTAGCGCCATTAACTTGAGACTTAAAAGTCTATCTACCAGGACGGATGGAAGCTTTCACAATTAGACGAGACGACACAAATGCTTTATTAAAGTTTAATTTTGAACTCCCAATTAGTGAAACTGCAGTACAAATCGATTGCAATTTCCTAGAAGGCACCGCGAGTTCTCTGCCTGCCTGCCTGCCACGTGCGGGGAGGCTCCGGAGCGAGCTTCCCCGGCTCCCGGCAGCGGAAAGGGGAGGGTTCAGAGCTGGTCTCCGCAGCCCAGGAAGTCCCCCAAAATCCTCGCCAGCCCATCCTTCCGCGAGGCGGGGGCGGAAAAGGGCAGATCCCGCGGGAGGGGGCACAGGGTGGGAAGGGAGGACTCCCAAGTCCCGGGCGCCCGGGGGTAGTGGGGGATGGACGGAGGCAGGGCGGCGGGAGGCTGCGGGGCGGGGTGGGGGGTGGGTGTTCCTCCATCCTCTCGGCCTCCCGGGAGGAGCCTCCTCTAGTCAGTTACGCAGAAGTTTCTCTTTCGCTCTTGGCGCTAAACACCCACATGCGCTTCCTGCGCGCCGGCCTCGGGGCGGAGGAGCGGGGCGACTGGAGCCCCAGAAGGGCTGCCCGGCGATCGCACCCCCGCGTCCCCTCCCCCACCCGCACAAAGCCCGGTCCGGGTCCGGGTCCGGGATACGTTACCTGCCGGCGCTCCCGGCCCCTCGGTCTCCGCCTTCCCCGCCGGCCGTGCCTTGTGTGCGTCCTGCTCCCCTGGGCGCACAAAGGGGTCCCCCCGCAGGCTACATC